GTTGGTGACCTCAAGTCACTTTTGGAGAGTTGTGAGCTCAACTCACTATTGAGAGTAATAGCCTTAAGCTATTAACTTATCCTTTGTAAACCTTCCATCATTATCAACCATTAGTCAAGTTTTCCATCTTACTTATTTCTTCTTTATAAATTAATTTACCAAAGATCAGATTAATTAGTTAACCAAAGAGCCAATCTTCTCTCTCTATAATTTGCGGTTGTTAGTGTGAATTATATCAGTCCATTACAAAAATTCAGAAGCTGAATTTCCATCATCTAAAGTTGAAATGGATAAAAGGAGAAGGGGGGAGGGGGTTGTTATGGATAGGAGCTATGTGGAAGAACTATGGCCAAAGATTTATTAATTATTTTGGTGAATACTATGTTTGATGTAACAACGACAATGTTTTCCATAATAGTATGCTATAAAGATAGAGGTGAGTCCTATGTCTCCTATAATCATTCGTTGGAAGGCAAACCATTATTGCAATATTTCCACCACACGATCTTAATGTTGGTGACATTTTTCGATCTTTAGAGTTTCTTTGGGTAGAAAAGCGCTAGATAGTGTAGAAGAAAATCCATACTTAGAAAGACACATTTTTATTAATTTTAAGTTGTGTTCCATAATATTAATGTGATTATTTTAAGTTGGGTTTCATTTTTTTTTTTTTGGAGAATTATTAAACTTTTCATGTCACTAAGACAGCTAACGCGCTCCATAGCTAGTCATATGTTTAGGGGTATAAATTTCCACACACTTTTCTTAATAAGAATTAAAAAAAAAGGTAATTATCTTTTTTTTGTAAGGAAAAAAAGGTAAATATTATCAATGAGGGTAATAAATAAAGGCAAAAGCTAACAAACGTCCCAGAATAAGACAATTAAGAGTAGAAATATCAAATTAAAATGAACATTGTGATTTTTTCATGCATTCCCAAATTAATACCACTTTAGGAAATATTTTAAATGCTTGTCTAACGCCCTCGGGCTTTCGTTAGCAAGATCCATAAATAAATAAACATTTTAGAGGGTATAATTGTCCACACATCTATTTAAAAATTATACACATTAATGAGGGTATTTATGTAAATTCACATTTTTAAAGGGTATAATTGGCAACACACTATTCATAAGAGTTTTCTTGTACTATTCATAAGGGTTTTCTTGTAGCCTTGCAAGACGTGCAATTTAGTTCGAGCCCATTCGAAGCAGAATTCTAATCTAATTTTGTAATCAATGAGTCCGGATATGAGTTTGAAACATATAGTTTGACTTAAGACTAATATTTCGGTTGATTTTGGAGGATGTGCAAACTTCAATTTGAATTACTCATATGAGTGTTCGAAGTATTTTGGAACTGAATCTGATAATGTATGGGTTACGCATTTTTACCTTCTTTTTAATTCTATTGCAAACAATTCACTCTTTCTCTCACTTGCAACCTAAGCCTCCAAAATACCATTTTTTTTTTCTCTCTTTCTATTCACCTACATCCCTTCTTCCCTCACCCTTTGCCTTTTATAGTTGTCACATGCATTTTTCTCTCTTTTCACTTGCATGGTGGCTTTGTTCCTTCGTTTGTCCCTCCTTCCCTCATTTTGCCTCTTAAGTTGTCACATGGCATCAAGCATTAAAGGTTACATACATGCATAATGTATGTCCAAAATTTAACTTTTAAGCAAATTTTTTATGTTTATTGTTGGTTATTGGTTTATATACTTTCATGTGGTGTTCTTGTAAATTGTTATCCTCGATTAGGTTATTCAAATGTAGGGTTTTCTTACCTTAATTTGATACTTTCAAAAGAGTATCCTTTGAGCGAATGGCAAAGAGTTGTATTTGTTTATTTTGCATTTTCATTTGCTTTTTTAATGACAAAATTAAAAGCTAGTAATTGAATGTAGGAAGTGAGTTAAACTTTGACTGGGATCTGATTGGGACTTGTTAGATATGGATCCAGAATTAGAATTGATTATAGGGTTTGATTATGAATTCGGTTGGATTGAATCCTATAGAGCCTAACCCTAATTTGATCCATTTCCATTCCTAGTTGCTCCATATACTTTACGCATTATACTTAATTTTAGTAGACCCTTCGCTCTTGCTTCAATTTTTAAACAAGATAACGTACTGACACTTATTGGACCCATTGATTGGTAAGGTTAGAGATTATCTATTACTTCCTTTTTTTTATTTTTTATGTGACACGTTTTTATTTTCAATGTATGTCAATGCACACTTTTATCGGTTAATATCTCTAATTATCAACATTGCAAAATTATAAAAAGTGAATATTAAAAAAATAGAAAATGCTATAATTGGCCTTATGGGCTACATATAAGAACCTAAACATGGAAAAAAATGAAAATATAACATGAATTACATTGATTTACGCGTGATTTTGTCATGCATTCTAAATACTAAATTAGGAAAGATATTAAATGCTTATTTGTAGGCCTAAGGGCTACATATAGCATTAGCCTAATAAATTTTATATTGAGATGAGTTGAAAAAATCCCACATAACTATGGGTCTGTTTTGTTCAGCTTAATTTCATTTTAGCTTAGCTTAGCTCCAATCAGTTGAGTTCAGTTTCTAATTTCCTTCTCTCATAAACAATTCATTTCAGCTTTATTCATTTTAGTTTAGTTGTTTTCAGTAAATCGGAACAAACCCTATGTTTTATGATAAGTTGATAACTATAAATCACTAAAAATTAGTCAAAGTACAGTTTGTGAATAAAAATAGAGGATGTATTTTTTATAGGACCATTTGCAATGCCTTGTTGTTAATTCCTGTAACATATTTTCATCTGCAGTTCAATAGTTTCCTTTAATTAGAATTAGTGGAGGGCTAGCATTCTATTTCAAGAGGTGGTTGATAGTTTTTGTTACTAAACTTGAGAAAAATAGCTTTTGACACTCTACAATAGGGCTACCAAAATATCAACTAGTGTGGTTAATCTTTACCAAATACGACCTCCGCTTTTTATTAGTTGACACGTTTTGACTTTAGCATTATTCACACACATCCCTTTGACCAAGTTTTGTGATTTATATGTAAGGAAAAATATAGTTAAGTGGGATCTTGTTAGATTCGTCACAATGTATATTTTCAAAATATCAACTTTTTATAATTTTTTGTTATCAGTAATTAAAGATATTAATGATTTAATTTGTGCATTGACAAACGTGACTAAAGAAACGTGTCAACTAAAAAGAAATGGAGGAAGTATATGTTTGTAGACACTTCAATCCAAGAGGAAACACTTTAGTGCATTGAAAAGATGATTTAAAAATTTACTCATTTCTGGTTTTTTATGCTTTAATCATAGCACTATCAGAAAGGATTAGAAAGGATTATAATTACAGAATTACTGAGTAAAGCCTTTATAAGTTTGTTGCTTTTAGACTTAAGTGAGATATCGAGCTAGAAATTCAGCTCTTTACCTTCTTTTAGCTATTTTAAGGGATGGTGGATTCTTGTGAGTTTGAGAGATTAAACTTTAAAATATCCACCTGCCTTCCTCTAGGAATTAAGATTCAGATCAAAGTATACTTTCCCCATTGGCTGCTTGAAATTTTTTAAAAAGATAATCTAGCTTTGAATATTATTGTACTTTAACTATAATACATTGTATATTTTAATTAGCAAAATTCTGATAGCAAAAGTCAAATGAGTTCTTTTTTTGTTCCCTTTCTGAATCTGTGGATAAGGGAACCGGGAAATGGAGTAAAAAAAAAAAAAAAAAAAAAATTAAAATTAGAATTTACTTGATTTGAATCATGATAAAAATAATGGAATGTTTGTTTGACTAGATGTTGTCTAATGAAGAACATAACACCAGATTGTATCAATATTCTCTTTTCATGTATTTGAACATGATGCTTGTTTACTTGTTGCTTACTAAGTGAATATATACTTGTTTTTGTGATTTGTTAGTTGTGTAGAGCATGATAGCCAAGAGATTAACTCTAAGCTGACTGATGTAGCCAAACTACTTGCAGGATTGAAGAGTTTGTTTCTAGATGTGATATTTGGCTTTTGTTCTGTGATGATGTTTTCTTTTGCTTAGTCATTGAGTATAAAATTAGTTATGATATATTGATGGATAAAATTTCATTCCCTCTTTAAAGATCACAATCTCTACTTTGCTCTGTAGAATCTCCTAATTTCTAGTGTTTGCTGTTGCTTCAGAACGCACTTACACAGCACTAGAAAGTGGATGAAGGGTAAAGGGCGTGTGACTATCCAATTTGGTTGCTGTTATAATTATGCTACTGTAAGCTGTCTATTTGACTGCCCTTATATATCTTGCATATATGGTGTTAAATTTGCACAAATATTGAATGCTATACTGATAATTGCAGGATAAAAATGGTAACCCACCAGGTATTCTGAAACGCGGAGAAGTTGATCCCTTACCTTCTCTTTTTAAAGTGATAATCAAGAGGTTGATCAGATGGCATGTTCTTCCCCCGTCCTGCATTCCTGACAGCTGTATTGTCAACATTTATGAAGAAGGAGACTGCATACCTCCACATATCGATAATCATGATTTTGTTCGGCCATTTTGTACTATTTCTTTTCTCAGTGAATGCAATATAGTATTTGGAACAGACTTGAAGATTGAAGCCCCTGGAGAATTTAGTGGCGCTATAGCAATACCCTTGCCCGTTGGGTAAGTGCAGTCCATTCACTATTAAGTTTCCTAATTCCGATGTGTCTTCTGTGTTGTTATACCTATTATGTTTAATGGGTACAAATGGTAATATTTGATGTTGCTTCCTTTAGATCGGTTATGGTATTAAATGGAAATGGTGCTGATGTTGCCAAGCATTGTGTTCCTGCAGTACCATCTAAGAGGTATCCATCTATGTTTTGTTTGTCTCATCTTTCAATTTGTGTTGTATGATGGTTATTTTCAGCTTGTTTTTGGTTAAGCGATGACTTTTAAGTGCCCTTTTCCTCTCCTTTTGCTCTTTCTAGGATTTCTATTACTTTCAGGAGAATGGATGAATCAAAGCGGCCTGTGGATTATTCTCCCATACCAGACTTGCAAGGACTTGAACCATTATATTATGATGATGATGGAGCAAAGAAATCACCCCCTCAACATCACGTAAGCAGGCAAGGAACAAGAGACGAGTTCAGGTCAGAGAAGAAGAGAGATGAAGAGCCTCGATATTCAGCCAGGTTTCGGGTTGCCATGAGAGGTCCTAGAAATAGGGTAAATTTGGGAGGTAGCTGATATGTAGAAACGTCTCGTGGCTGATATGTAGAAACGTTCCGTGGTTTCTCATCCCATATTTTATCAATTCCTGTTGAATTCTCTGTGTATATATATGTACTAAAAGTTGGCTATTATTTTATTACCATTTTTGTTTATGAATCAAAGAGTTTTGAAGGCATTTCTTCAAATCTGTCTATTGTAAATTGAGGAAAATGTAGTGTCAAAATATTTGTTTTGTTTTAAATTTTTTATGGAGAGATTTATATTAGATCTTAAATTTTTGCTACTGCGTGAAATTGCATATAGATAGACTGATTGTCTAATTGTACAAGGGATAACAATAAATTTGGGTTGGGTTGGACCTTAACAATAAATTTCATGGCAAAACTCGTAAAAAGTGGCGGGCTTGTCGAATTAAATTTAGTTTTTTTTAACTAAAATAGTTTCTTAAAACTCACTTTTTTTGGGATTAGATCAAACTGTACCATAGTTGATTACTTCTAGACGGAGGTGTAAATAAATCGAGTTGATCAATAAATTACTCGAATTCAAGCTCGGTTGAAACTCATTAAGCAAAAGGCGGAGGAAATGGGGATAACCCATATAACATTACAGTATTTTAAATTTAAAAAAAAAAAAAAAAAAAAAACCGAAGAGGAGGAAAGAGATTTCGAGACATATATAAATTACAGTATAAAGCAATAAGCATTGACTAAGAATTACCCTTCCTTCCAAAGTCCAGAAAACCCGACCTTTCTAGGGTTTCAACTTTAATTAATAACAAAAAATTGTCGGTCTGTTTTTACGCCAATCAATCCGATAGACCCTCAGAATTATGAGGACTCGAAACGCAAATACCCAAAAACGCCGGCATCACAAAAGAAGCCACCGTCGGCGAAGAAGTCCGCTGTCAAAACGCCTACTCCTCCTTCTCTACCGGTGGATTCCACGCCGGAGACGTCGACACCAAAATCTACGGCTTCTCGAAACCCCGAACCCCAGACTACTCCTTCTACCGCCGACCTCAACCCCGAACCTGCAGGTATATTCAATCTACATTTTTTTTTTTTTTTTAATTTTGCATGTGATGGAATAGGCGGATGTTCGTCTCTTAAGTTTCTTTTATGATCGGATTTTATAATCACTATTATTTTTTTTTATGTGGATTTGGATGTCAAAGATTAATATTTTATTTTATTTTTTTAAATTTTATGAGGGGAGATTAAAGTATTGAATTTTCCGACGCTGTTTTATATAGAGGAGAGATTTATAAATATCTGGATGATGCATGCATGATAGATTGAGTGTGGCTGTGAATTAAGATTTCTAGTCATTAGAAGGGATTCGATCTGAGGTCCTGGGTATCGTCTCCATGGCCATTATCAAAGCTCGACATTCAAACAACTCTGGGACTTTATTTCTATGTATTCAGAATAGTTCATGATATATGAGTTATTTTATGTACTTATTCCTCATTAACCCCCTTCCCCCTCCCAAATGCAGCTGAAAATGCTGTTGTATCACCAACTAACAAAGGTACTACAAAGAAGGTGACAAAGAGAATAGTGAAGAAGAGGGTGATCAGACCCAAGACTCCTGCTTCAGCTAAAGATGGCACATCAGCGTCCGTGAAGACAGGTGAGGCTGGCGATAGCAATGTTGATGTCACGGATTCCACAGATGCAAAGGCTGTAAATCTTTCAAAATCTGAAGAATTTGTTATGAAGGATTTAAAATTAGAGGAGCTAGTTACTGATAAGGTTCCAGATGGTGGAGAACCCCACGATAAGGGCAAAGAAAAAATGGATGGAATAGAGTCACCTGTTGTGGCTATTGAGGATGTATCTTCTGCTGGAAATGAGGATACAAGTGAGCCCAAAGAGGATAAGGATGATGAATCAAAACAAGACGAGGCTGCTGATCCCGACAAACAAGCAAAAGACAATCTAGAAAAACTAGTACGTGATAAGTCAGATAGCATGGATGATGATCAAAAGAAAGAGAATGTAAATGTTCACGATATGCTAAAGAATAGGGACAGTGACAAAATGGATAAGACAGATGAACAGGCTGCTGAATCAAAACAAGACGAGGCTTGTGCTACTGGGGGAATCGAGGAGTATGGTGATGAGGAGGGTTTTGTGGAGCCTGGGGATGAGGACCTTCAGGAGGATGACGAGCCTGAGACTGGGGATGAAATGAAGGCACTGGAAGTGGAGCACAAGGAATTGGCAGCCGCAGCCAAGGAGCGCAAGGTCAAGAAAGAACTTGAGATTTTTGTTGGTGGGCTGGATCGCGAAGTTATTGAAGATGATGTGAAGAAGACTTTTGAGAAAGTTGGAGAGGTGGTTGAAGTTAGACTGTTGAAGGATACTTTGACAAACAAGAACAGGGGCTTTGCATTTGTGAGGTTTGCGACTAAAGACCAAGCTAAGCGGGCGTTATCAGAAATGAAAAATCCTGTTGTATGTTTTCTTTGTCGTATCAAAGAGTGTCTTTTATGTAGCACTCGTATTTACCATCTTTATTCTTTCTTAAGCCTCTCTTTTCATAAATTGTGTAAAACAGATACGTGGTAAGCGATGTGGGACTGCACCTAATGAGGACAATGACACCTTATTCCTTGGTAATGTCTGCAATACGTGGACTAAGGAAGCGGTAAGACTGAATTTATTTTGAATAGTGATTTTTGTTGAGATGTTTTTTGTTTTGTTTTGTTTTTTATTTTTTAAAATGATTTTTATCATCTCTTTCTGCAGATAAAACAGAAGCTGAAAGATTATAGTGTTGAAGGTGTTGAGAACATTACCCTTGTCCAAGACCCTCGCCATGAGGGTTTTAAGCCGTGGATTCTGTTTTATTCAGTTTGCTTGCCATGCTGATGCAATGTTTGCTTATAAGAGGCTTCAGAAGCCAGATGCTATATTTGGCCACACTGAGAGGACTGCTAAGGTTGCTTTTGCTGAGCCGCTTCAAGAGCCCGATCCTGAGGTGATGGCTAAGGTTAAATCAGTTTTTGTAGATGGGCTTCCTCCTCACTGGGATGAGGACCGTGTTAGGAAGCATTTCAAAGTTTATGGTGAGATTGAACGTATTACGCTGGCTCGCAATATGTCATCTGCTAAGCGTAAAGATTTCGGTTTTGTTGATTTCACTGCTCATGAGTCTGCCATTGCTTGCATAGAGGATGTGAATAGTAAGGAGTTAGCTGATGGAAACTCAAAGGTTTGGTTCCAACTTTGTTTCTGGTTTTTCTTTTCACCTATGTTTATATATTTTGTGGAATCGCCTTAATTGTGGATGTTTCTTTGTTTTCTACTTCCTACTGGGTGTTTGTTTATAGGGACAAAGGGTGGGCAAGGGAATACCAATCCCCGAATTGGAATTATCTTTTACATTTTTAGTCCCCCACTTACTTAGAAAAATCAACCTACCCACTCAACTCTACACAACACTTAACTGATGCATTTACTCCTGTCTCATGATAAATTTTTACCTCCCTTTGGGTGTTTTTTGATGCACATCCCACCCTTCTGTTTTTATACATATATATATATTTTTAAACCCAGTTAAACTCAATTTAATCCTTAAATAACAGTTCCAGGTTAAAAAAATCTGTTAAAGAGAGCAGCCATAATTATTATCTGGATTTTATAGTTGGCTCTATCTGATTTTATTTAGTTTTTTGGTGCTAGAGTGTTTGTTCTTGCCTGTCTTATGTTTTGTGATGCGTGATTTTGTTATCCCAGATTCCCTGTAGTGTCCCTTTATTGTATTATGCATGGTGTTGGTGTTGTGCTTTGACAAGATATAGTAATACATTGAGTTTGTTGCCCTCTAGTTTCTTTATGCTTCCATGCAGGGTGTTGGTGTTGTACTTAAGCAAGATATTATTTTCCGCCTATCCTGTAGTAACCATGTTTGATTGTCAACTAGTGTTAGTCCCTGGCGATGCCTCGAGTTAATGCATTATTTCCATGACAAAAATCTTTATTACTTCCTCTTTTCTTTTTTACTTGACCTGTTTCTTTTATCACGCTTGCCAATGCAAAACTTTAACAATCAATAACTTAAATTTTCCAAAAGTAAAAATTATAAAAGTTATATGTTATGATAGTACTTATTGAGACGAATCCCAAAAGATCATACATGAATATATTTTTCCTTACATATTATTCACAAAATATGGTCAAAGGAGGGGTGGTGAATAGTGTAAAAGTCAAAGCGGGTCAAGTAATAAAGAACGGAGGAAGTAATATTTATTTTTATTGAATGACATGTAATATGGTAATAGCTTAGTGACTAACAGGTTGAAACTTAACTTGAGGTTGTTGGTTCAAATCTTGTAAGAACCATATTTTTAGACATGGAGTGAAAATTGGATTAAATGAGGGGTGCGCCACGTGGCACCTAAACTTCTTTAGGAATGCCTTGAAGAGAGCGCCACGTGGCATCTAAACTTCTTTAGGAACGCCTTTTAATATATAGTATAGATGTGTTTTGTATGGTCCCTTTATTATATTGTGCAGGGTGTTGGTGCTGTGCTTTGACAAGATATAGCAATACATTGAGTTTGTTGCCCCTCTAGTTTCTTTATGCTCCTGTGCAGGGTGTTGGTGTTGTACTTTAGCAAGATATGCTATTCCTCCTATCTGTAGTAACCATGTTTAATTGTCAAAAGAGTATGTGAAATAACTAATACTATAACTTATTTGTTGTTGCCTGACTTTTCATGGAGCTTAAGTATCTGCTGTTTTGTTCTGATTTATCTATCTCATTGTTTAGACAAAAGTAAGAGCAAGGCTTTCCAATCCATTGCCTAAAACTCAAGCTGTTAAGGGAGGAATGTGCGGTGGTTTTCGAATTGGCCGACCTAGTGGTATGCAGGCTAAGCTTTTCAGTGTCTTCTGATTCTTTTTCCCTTTGTATGCTATCTTACATTAAATGTACTTGTTGGTAGGAAGGAGCTTTGGGCGTGCAGCACCTGCATTAAATCGGCCTAATTTTCAGTATGGCAGACCCTCTCGTGGTCAGTTCAATGAGCCTGTTGGACCTTATGGTAATTAATCTATCTTTTGTAGCCACTAGCCAACAATCAGCTCCTCTATGAGTACATCTTCCTAGACTTTTATGTTGTCTTTGCGCACTTGATATGCTTCTTTTTTTCATTAGGGCGAAGAGTTCCTTACAGAGCTGGGCATATGGCACCTGGAGTTGGCCCTGCTGGAAGACCTAATTTTGGGGGACCTAGGGACATTGGTCGTGGACTTGCAAGACCTGTTCCTT